AATAAAAGATGAGAGCTTGATTTTTTCATTTAAGGCAGTGTCTGCTAATTTATATCAATAATCCCCGTGGAATAGAATAGATTGCCTCCTATTGCTACTTCTTAAACTCTTCAGCAGACACCCTTTCATTTGTGTGGTCGTGAAGTACCCGTTCTAAAACATGTTGGTTTTCTCCACATCGGGTCAGACTCAGCCCCAGTGTGGTTTTGGGCTCCTGCTGACACCACCAGTTGTTTTGCTCTTTTCACCAGAGGAAAATAATAAGTGTGAATTCTCCGAGCTACAACCCACACTGGCTCAGCTGCACAATGCGATCCACCTCAAGGAATTTCAACTTTCTGCAGTCTGCTTTTCACTCTGTTGTCTGTTCCTAACCTGTTTCATAAAACTTTTTTTTTACAATAACTAAGTCATATGCTTTGTTCCCACAAGTCTATCTTAAAAGACAAACAAACTGCTCTCAAAACCACAATAAAACTGTAATTGAGTTGTGTTGATGTTTTGGGAAAGTCTGTTTCTCACTGCTGATGTCTGGGGAGATTTTCCGTTCTCGCGGGTATATTTGTGAAGCAGAAATAGACCAAGAACAAATAGAAATTCCCTCATGTTGGTTCACACCAGTGAGGAAAAAAATAATGATGGATTTTTTTTTGGTTGTTAAATTTAGAGATGCTAAATTCTTCTTATTTTTGACTTAAAATTTCACTCATCGCCAAATTAAAGTCTGATTCTCGCAAAGCAAAAACACAAGGTCGCCTCTTCCTGACACACAGCAATTTGAATGGTTTTCTTTAGAAGAGGCGTTTTCAGTGGGAACAAGTACAGCCGAATATAGTAGTAATATAGAAAGTGATCAAGCCGACTGCTTGTGGAAGAGCCATAATAGTTTGGGCTATGGATTTTGTTTTTATAAAGCTATTCTGGAAAAAATAAATGAAATCGTTCATATATTGTCATGCAGTAAAATGAGGAAGGACCTATAAGCAGAAGTGCAACATTTTATAATTTAGTGAATGCCACAAGAAAAAATTGTCAAAAAGTAAAAACTGAAACCGGGGACAACACGGGGGCCGACAACAAGAGGATAGGAGCACAAGGTCTAAATACACACAGGGAGACACAGTGTAACACGTGGGGCAAACAATCAACAGGACAGACAGGAAGTAAACGTCAAACAACAAGAAAACACATATATATCAAAATAAAACCAAATTAAAATAAATCCACTAAAAGTCAACAACATCACATATTGCTCCACATGGACGATAAGTTGGCGCAGTCCAATAAAATGTGAGCATTGGGTATTTCTCTTTCCGGGTACACCCCCACCAGCTAGGAGTGAGATTGCAAGCATGTCAGCGGACGTGCTCATGGACCTTTTTGAGCCGGGACCCGCCCCCACTGGTACTGACGCTGTGACTTCAGAAGTTGCAAAGTTGTTTTTTGACACATCCCCATCTTTCTCGTGTTCAAAGTCCAACACAGGTCTAAACGACTCGCATCCGTTTCCCACTAATGACCCAGGTGGACACAGCATTTCAACCTGGGTTAAAAAAAAAACTACATATCTACGCAATTCTCCCTTACGTTTTATTGTGATTTGAATCAATGCTGAGCCGTACACTTTCTATCTCCTTTTTATTCACAGTGCAGCTTTGTCTCTGCAGCCGTCATACTTCTATGTGACAGCTGCATCTTCTTTCTTTCACTTTGATGTGAAAAATAGAGTAGTAAAAGTCACAGTAAACGTCCCACCTCTTCATCAGTGCTGTTGGAGCCTTTATGTAAAAGACCGGGCCCACCTCCTGCAGTAGATGGACGGTCAATGCTCTGTGGGTGTGCAGATTTTGCTCATTAGGAGAATTGTAACACGCGTCGGCCCTGGCACAAACCGCTTTCCAAAATGGCCTCGAGACTTCATTACATTTGTGAAGGAAAATAGCAGAATGTTGTTCTGAACGCAGAGGGAGAGGTTGTAAACATGTTTTTAATAGCACTTTACCTTTTAGGGATTGGTGTTATGTTTTAGGGTTTGGCAATAAGTGTCTTGTAGATAATAAATTCTGGCAAATACATAGTCCATTGCAAATGTTGAGTTAAGTGAGTTATTCAGACTTTTGTGCTGTTTCCCATCTGCGGAAATACGTGTAGTTCTCACAAACAGTGGTGTGAAAAAGGGTACCCCAAACATTTTTACCATTTTCCTTTATAAATCATTGTTGTTTGGATTAAAAAAATTCAGTTAAATATATCATATAGGAGACAAACACAGTGACATTTGAGAAGTGAAATCAAATATGTATAATGTATTGTGTTAAGTGCGCATAAAACTATGTGCATAGTTTCAGACCCCCTTCACATTTTTTTGTTATTTCAACAACCTTAGCACACCTTAGCACAACCTTATTGAACTCAAAATTGGTTTTGTTACCTCAGAGACCCCTGATACAGGTGAATCCAACGATGAGAAAGTGTATTTAGAACGCAACAAACCTAATAGGAATAAACATAGCATCATGGTTTCAGGACATCTGCTGTTTTGCATATAGATGGATAATTCTTCATTGATCCTAGGTGGAATTCAACTGATTCGGTCATCCAGAAAGTAAGTAATAGGGACAGTGCTCATTATCAACACAACTGTAAATGTGCAACACAGCTCGTTTCCAACTGTAGTCCTGAGGCAATGTGTGAAAGGCCAGCAGAAATGTACCACTTTACAAATTGTAGTCAATTAGATAAAAAGACATTTATGAAATATTAAAACAACACTTAAGAGGAATTTATAACATCCCTTTTCTAGCCTTAATGATGCAGCCTAATTGCTACTGTAACGACTGTCTGTACCGGTCAGTTCTGCAGGTCAGTGAGAGGAAGCACGGTCACTCCTTGTTCTTCTCTGACCAGTGGATATTTGTCCTCTGAGGTGGTGATCCGCATTTTCCGCCTCATAAATTTCTCCAACACGACCCACAACACTCTCCGGTCTCCTGGCCAGCACTGTGCCAGTCCTCAGTGTGTCCAGTTTGTTCCTGTCCCTCAAAGAAATGCTTCCCCCCAACACACAACAGCATTGAGCAGTGCACTCCCAATCATATACGCAAATACACTGTAACTTTCCTTTGTCGTCTTTTGTACAATTTGAAGCTGGGTTTTAAAAATAATTTTCCATCTGATCTTGGTTAACTAGCGTTTTATATCTTTACAAGGTCACTGGGAACCGATAACTTTTAATCAAGGAGGTAAATAACAGCTGTATAGAGCCAACATTCATTTCCCATTAGTGAAAATATTCCTGTCAAAATGTTTAATACAAACTTCAACACTTTTTATTTAACAAATCCAATAACAGATATAGCTCCCACTAAATAGACTGGAGGTGATGTAACAGCAGATCTCCCAGGTAACAGATGTTGACTTCTTTTTGATGTGATTAAATCTAATTAAAGTGTCATGTTATTTATGATAATTACAACCGAATCAAATCAAACTGATCAGATAGTTTCTTTAGGCCCGTCTGTAAATACTGTGTAACAACACGAGTGCTGGCACAGCTGTTGAATGTTTGTGTTTAAGAAAATAAAATTAAAATTGCTACTCACACGTCACTAAAAAAAATGTTTGATCCTGACTCTATATTGATATTGTCGATACCAGTGCCGATAATCGTTTTTTTAGAGTAGAGTCAGCATCCTCTGTGTCTGGTTTTGTTTTCCCTTTTCCTCTTTTGTAATCCTCTTTAGGGCTTGTAAATAACTATTTATAATTACAACAATATGTTTTCCACTGCTCTGCGTTCGTTGTTCCCTAGTTAATTTCATTTGAAGAGAAAATTTGTCATTTGCTTTGCTTATTTCAAACTTGTGCAATACTTACACAGTTATGCGGTGGGATCACTGGGAGTAATTTGCAAAGGCTTTAATGACCACCTTGTTTATTTAGTAATCACTGCGACATTAGCTTACCTACCAGGTTATCACAATACACACACATCATCTCAACTGATTGCAAACACATGCATATTTGTCCCGACTGATTAGCACATTCAAGTAGGAATTTGCACACGCCGCTGAATACACATTATTCTTCATCAGCCTCCAGTCGCTCCCTACCTTCTGCTGATTTACAAGCAGATGTTGTGGAGAGGAGGAGGACTTGCATAAACGTCAAATGACTGTTGGGGGGAGGCGCTGGTGGGATGCTGGGATCGTTTCCAGGATGACAAGATGGAGAAAGCTGACACCACGCTTGAATCTGTTCGAACTTTACACATTCCCCCGCACTGCGAACGACCTGACGCTTCATTTCCATCTGGAGGATTTCTATTCATTTGCTTGTTTTTGTTTGGCCCAACATGTTAAAGTTTAGTTAGCTAGGTTTAGTGGGAGGATTTCGTGATTTGCCAAAGGGATGCTCCGTGTATTTTATGTATGCAGCATGTAGTAGTAATTATAGACGCTTTCAAAGGCCATGGAGTGAATGGATGCCTCACCTGAAATCAAAGCTGGGGTATCCATCTAACTTTGTGTAGTTCCTTGCTCTCAAAACGCATTCATGTATTCACTGGTCACATCTTTAGATCAGGCTTTTGAGACAGAAGTGAGAAAGATAGAACCACTCTCAATCTGCCGAAGTATGCAAAAGATAACGTGTTTTCTAATAAACTATATCTGCTGTGGTCTTCAGTTTTAATTATTCAAAAGAGAAGTTTGCTTCTCTTGCCTTGAGGGTTGAGTTTCTGGAGTTGGCTGTGTCAGTCATGTTGATTTCCCCCCAATCAACTTGAAACATAGAGATGCATATTTTAGTTTTAATAGTTGAAAGTGTTATTACGAATGTATTTCACGTGTACGTCCTCAAAATTACCATCATTCAGATTGTCTTAAATGACTGGAAACATTTTTGTGGATTTGATTATTCTCTGTATAGGGACAAAAAAGTATCCAAAAGAAATAACCACCCTTTACTTAATGTTTATGTATTATGCGTTTTTGTTTCAGGACCCGAGAAGCAAACACAAATTTAAGATCCACACATACGGAAGCCCCACGTTCTGCGACCACTGCGGCTCGCTGCTGTACGGCCTCATCCACCAGGGCATGAAGTGTGACAGTGAGTACCTCTGCGTCTACAGACACGGGATTGGACATGGGATTTCATAAATACACTCTAGACTAAATTATACCTGAATGAGGATGTTTGTGTCATGTGGTGAAATAAAAAAAGAACCCAAAATGCAGGACTTAGAATCAAATAAATTGAAGGTAACGGACAACAAGGGGAAAATCACAGGGAGACACAGGTGAGTCACATAAGGGCAGGGCAGACGATCAACAGGAGACAGGAAGTAAACTCAAACTACAAGAGAATGAATATAGAATAAATAAATTAAAAAACAGACCACAATTATTAAAAGTTCTACAGCATGTGAAGTTTGCAAGATTCAAGATTAGATTCCCTAAAAAAAACACACAATCATCATTATCTTCTTAGAAACATCTTTTGCATACTTGTAAGAAAGAGTCCTCTGTGTCACTTTTTGAGCTGATTTCCCCTTTCTGTCTAAAAAAGCTGATTTGTGCATGAAATCTAGAGATGGAACTGAATAGATAGATAGACAGACGGATGGATATCCCAGGATTAAACCCAGCAGCTTGCGTACAGCTTGTGATAAGGTCCTCTCTCTTTGGATGCGTGGGGCCAGCTGGATGTCCTTGGGCATCATGGTCACTCTTGTGTGGCGTCCTCAAACAGAGCCACCAGGTAGAGGTAGAGCTCTGGAAGGGTAGGTCAGTGCTGAAGTCCTGGGCTATCTCCAGAGCAGTTCTGTGGAATATATTATGGTTTGAAAGTTAAGCCCCCAAGCTTTAAGCCAGACGTATGATAATCTTTTATTTATTTATTTCACTTCACTTCACTTGTCTTTATGTAATTATGTAGCCGTTGTTTGGCCAGACACTCACCAAAGTCTGCCACGCTGCGGCCCCCTTTTTGATCCAAAAATGTCTGATGCGGTTCATTTAAAACAGCACTTTGAGACCATACGGCTCCAAATGTGCCACTGTCTGTATTTGTGTTTGTGTGTGCGTGTGTGTGTGTGTGTGTGTGCACCAATCTGCTGTCTTCATCCCAACAGGGCAGATGAGAGCAGATGTCTCACCACACTGTCATATTGACCCCAGTATTATTATCCTTATATCATGTGTCAGGATGGGACTGCATAAGACCAAAACATCAACAACATATAACGTCTTTGTGTCCACCCTCTGCTAGAAAGTTCCCAAGTATGGAGGTATTGTTCTTAAAAGGAGACGTATTATGTCAACTTATATTTCTGGCACAAACATGTAACTCCGCCCCTTCTGTAAGTAAGTAAGTAAGTAAGTAAGTAAGTATTTATTTATCTGTCTAAAAGCTTCTGTCTCAGTCCTTTAATAGTATGATGCCACTGTACCACTGTGACATCACACTCACAGCAGTTGTCTACCTTTTTTAAAATAAATCATGGCACTTAAATTACTTTTGGCAAATTCCCAAGTTAAAGGAAATATGAATGTGTTAATTTTCACATTTGGAAGAGAAAAAGACTTTCTCCCTTTGGTGGAGTAACAAAACATGTTTTACCATATAATTTTATATAAATAATATTCATATATATTTAAGCCTAAATATATTTTTATTTTAAACATGAAATAAAAACCTAAATAGTCACATTCTCTACAGATTAATAATGCATCTTATTTTTTATTCACTGATTGGGACAAGCAAAACAATGGAGCCCTAACTAAGAAAGTTGCAGGGTGCACATTCATTTATACATATCTGTTATAGCAGCACCTATATGTTTTATTTAGATTGTTTATTTCAATATTACAGACAATTAACAAGTACTAAAGTCAAAAAGAGGTTGGTTGAAACTATTGCTACTTTGATTCCAACCCCTGTCACACATACTGTATGCCAACAATACAATTCCATAACAATATCATACAATAGAACGAAAAAAAAAAAAAATAACTGAGCAGTAAATACAGTAATTCAATACATGACACAATGTTTGGCTTATCGGAGAATTGATTGCGTTTAGAAGAAAAGTGCAGATTTCCAGGTAAAGTACTTATCCATGGAGAAATTATGTTGCTGATGCATTATTCAGATGAGATAGAACTGCCCTCCGCCTGACTCCATGACACCATCAAATACAACAACGTGAACACAACCTCTCGAGTGTTCCCCGTGCTGTCGCTGTGGCCGTCCATCTGCAGCTCAGCAGTGGCAGCGCGGGCACAGATGGAGGACGACGGGAGGGAGCTCTCCTTTGGGCTTTTGGTTCCATGTCGTAGTCTGCGGCGAAGAAGCAGGACTGAGTGAATCACGCACAGGGCCGAGGAGGCAGTCCGGAGGCTGGAAGGAACGTGGGGGAGACGAGGGCCGGCAAGATGACAACTGTTGCTTCAGCTCTGTCTCTGCTTGTGGGATTGAACTGCAAATGTACGCCAATCTTGCACAAGGGACATCAAATGCAAATGAATGAAAGCGGGACTATTTGTCTCTGTTGTAGATGATTTCTTGTTGCAAAACCAATTTCCCCCTAGTGGGATAATAAAGTTAACTTTGAACTATTTTTTATCATTGCGTCTTTTGTGTTTGATTCTCTGATCTGTGTTGGCAAATTCAATGGTTTTGTTCAAGGTATTAGGAGGGTTTTCTACTTCCGGGTGGATCATCAAGACTGTTGGTCCTGCAAATTGTCAGTCATTCTGGTGGTACGTGCAGACAGTGGAGAGGGCGGTTCTTTCCTTAAAGTTGGGAAAAATCTCCTATAGTCCTCACAAGTTTATAAAGAGGCACAAGATGTTGGAAAATGTTGTGAGCGGACTCTGTGTTTCACTCTGGTCTGAAAACACTTTCTTTGAGGAGATGTTCAAATTGTTCATCTTTACAGTCCAACTCATTCAAAACTGTTCATAAGAACTAAGTAAACAATATTTAGATAGCACCTTCCACTTACAAAATAAGTGATTCACAAAAAATTATTGAAATATATAAGAAAAAAATGTACACATAGATAAAGGAGGCCAAGATAACCATACGACAATGGTAGCAGCCACAAAATGACTAACCAAAATCTTGGACAAATGAATATGTTCTTAGTGTAGCTTTTAAACTAGTCACTTGATTCTTTTGAACGCCGAAAGAGTAGAAGATATTTCTAATGCCCTGAAGCGACAGCCTGGAAAGATCGGTCCCCTCTTGGAACTATCCGTAGATTCTGATCTACAGACTGATCGCTAACATTAAATGGACTGGTGCTTTTGGTGCCTCCAGACCATAATGAGTGCAAACCAGACCATAGTCCATTTTCCTCCCCGCATAACTTCATGTATGTGTCTGTATGTTTTACTGCTTTTTTGCATCAGGTAAAAATATAACTAATGCTGTGTTTTTGTTGCAGCCTGTGACATGAATGTGCACAAACAGTGTGTGGTGAACGTGCCGAGCCTGTGCGGGACGGACCACACGGAGCGCAGAGGGCGGCTGTTCCTTAAGATAGAAGTCATCATGGACAGACTACATGTGACAGGTACAGCACACTCGGCTGCAGATGGTTAAGAATGGTTACTACTACTATAACTAGAAACTTGTCATTTAAAGTTATTTAGCAGTTATTTTTCAACTTGAGACAAGAAAGAGAACATTTTTGTATCCTCAATATCTCGCCTCATGATTGGACTAAATTCATTAAACGCCCACCTACATTAAAAGGGGAGACACTTATTTCCATATATATCTCCTAATGCAGGGCCAAGTGTTATCCATAATATACATTCTTCTCAAACTTAACTCATTCACTGCCCAATCACGACAAAACTCGTCATGTTGAATAGTAACGCTCACTGCCCAAGACGAGTTTGACGACTTTTTCATGTTATTACACGGGAGGCTACAGTAATGTCTGGCGCACCTTGTGAATGACCCACAATACTGATATATAGTGCAAATGTACCTGTAATGATAAATCAACACCAGTAGGATGCAGTATTGCGCCACAGGAGAGGTCATAAGTCAGTGGAGAGGAGGAGGAGGAGGAGTGTGGGAGTGTTTCATGGATGTATTATATTAACTGGATAGGGTATTACTAGCTTGTAGCTGAATAACCCATGTGCTCAGGGGATTCTCGCGGTACTGCAGACTGAACCAGACTAAATTCACGTGGGTTACCAAGAAATTTTCCCCATAGAACTCAATGCATATTAAAACAGCTCAACCTCAGCTGTCAGAGAACCTACAGCTTTAATAAAGATCTTAATAAAGATCGGATTTTGTGGGGATTTTAGTGTCCCTTGTCATCCTGAACTTTTTTTCTTCTTAAATCCTTCGGTTTTGTTTAAATCCACATTTTAGTGCCACAAAGTCTGCTTGTCTGGCTCTCGCTCTAACTCCCGCTCTGATGAACTGCTCTGATTGGTCAGAGCGCGGCCGAGCCCCTCTGTGCACGTGCGTGAGACCCGGTGTGAGACCCACACACGCGTGTTTGACGCAATGCATTATGGGAGATCATCCACTGCGCAGAACCGGGAGGACCAGACAATGCCCAAATACAGGCGAGTTTCCCATAGATCTTTGCGAGTTTCAGGCAACTTCCGCTATAATCTTTCAGCCCCCATGCTGTCACAAAGCGCCACTGAGCACAACCATTCATTTGAATAGGGCGCCATCTTGGATCGCCGGGGCTTGGAGTGTTTGGAGAGCGTGCTGCTGTAGCAGAGCGATGATAGCGTAGCATTGAGACGGATCAGCGATCTAGTTTAGCGATAGTATAGCAAGAGTGATGGCGAAAAAGAATAGTTATAAGCAGTGTACACTGCTTCAGAGATTGACTCGCGGATCAGTGAGTGAGGTCGAGAGGGGAGAGAGTGGAGACCCCGGTGGAGGTCCGTCTCTGCAGCCACATTTGCGCGGAGCAAGAGCCCGGAGCAGGGACACACCTTCCGCCTCTCGCAGCGTATCAGCTGCTGCTGTTACTGATGCCTCGGATTCGTTCAGAGAACCTGATCATGATTTATCGGATGAGTGGTTGCAGTCTCAATCCAGCAGAGCATCCTCTCCAGAAGCTCCACAAAGAGTCGAAGGTAAGAACTTGCTAAATTGCCTAGATTAGAATATGCTAACTTGAGAGGAGGGAAAGGCGCGGAAACTTGCTCTGATCTGCAAAGTAACACAGAGCTCAAATCCTACTGTTTCTTTAGTAAATGCCAGTTATGTGTTTTATCATTGTTGTATTTATTATTTTTATGTTTAGTTATTTCATACTTGAACATCTTGTTGCAGTGACATAGCTCTGACTAAATGAAATGTGTTCATTCACAGATTCTGATAAAAGAGCCCTCCCCCATTGGGGTTGACAGGGCAAGGAGCAGAGGTAAAGATAATGCCTCCTCATACCATTGTACATATTATTGTATATATTCTACTGGTATAGTGATTTACAAATTTATATTATTTACAGGTGGTGCATCAAGAGGCAGTTGCTGTGCACAAAAAAGGTAAAAGGACTACTATTTCTATTCTTGTACATCCCATGGCAATATAATATAATAATAATAATATAGTATACTTGTTTCGTCCAAAAGCAGTCAGTCAATAATGTGGGAGGAAGGCCTTCATTGTATTTTATGTATTGATTTATTTTAACAAATTCACTGTATAATATAGTTATTGTGTGTATCAAATTTCCAGCACGTTCGTCACCCAGAAGCTCTGGGGAAGATGGCTGACAGGAGGATCAGTGGGAGCCGAGTCAGTTGCCCTTCACAGGAGCTCCTGGACCTCAGAGACTGCGGACAGAGGCTGAGAAGCTGGATTCATCTGATCCAGACTTTCTGGAGCTGGATTCATCTGATCCAGACTTTCTGGAGCTGGATTCATCTGATCCAGACTTTCTGGAGCTGGATTCATCTGATCCAGACTTTCTGGAGCTCTTCTTCACGGAGGGAGAACTACAAATGGTACACAGCGTGTCGTGTTCCGTTGCACACAGTGTTTCAACCTCTACAACTCAAAGCTGAACTACTGGGAGGACTGAAAAAGCAGATAAACTCACTCATACACACACTAACGAACACACACACGCACACAGACACACACACAGACACTCACACGCACACTGACATTCACTTCACACACACAGACACACACACAGACACTCACTCACACAGACACTCACTCGCACACAGACAGGGCTGGACTGGCCATCGGGCGTACCGGGCAATGCCAGAAGGGCCGATGCCCATATTTGGGCCGGTCTGTTTGCCTCATACAAAAAAGATGTTTGTGAAAAGTGTAAATCCGTTGAGAACTGTTCGAGGGGGCGCGCGTGTCCGCGGGCTCCTGCTGTATGTACTCGAACGGGATTCCACCACCTCAGCGGCCGCAGTGTTCCCGCATGCAGCGGCTCTGAGCTGGACGCGGGAACCGCTCACCGGGAGCCGCTCACAACACAACACGGTGAGCGCGTAGCCGCAACGTGACCATATACCCAAGACCATAAACGCGCACAAGACCATGCGTGTCTTTGCGTAATTTGTGCACCCAATAAATACGCCGCTGCAGGAAACAGTCCGCGTCTCCCCTCTCCTCTCGAAGTGCGACTAAATTAAAGCTCGGGTACCTAAATTTCCCATTGCATTAAAAGTTCATGTTTGAGCCCAAAAGTAAAATGTTGTGAAAAAATTAAACAGATTTAGAGCCAGCCAATGGCTGACATTATGCATTTCAGACTTTTTTGACCAATTCTCATCCCTGTAACAAACAACAGTGTTGTCTGTGTCACCTCCCTCACTCTGAGACATGTTTATTACTCTCTTGTAATGTAGACTATTGCACTTTATTTTTTTGTTGAAACTGTAGACATCCTGATCCTCTACAGTATGCTTCCACATACTGTATAAACCAGGGGTCGGCAACCTTTAGTGCTCCTCCAGTGGCTCCTGGAGCCTTTTCAAAAATGTCTGAAAATGGAGTGGGAGGGCTATATTTTATTCCTAGTTTGAATGTGGTTTCTGTAGGAGTAAAAACATTCCTAACGTATTTCAATGCTGTAAAAATGTGTATAAGTAATATTCAATTTCAACATTTCTGTCAACGTAGTGAGTCATATCCTGTGGCGCGGCCCCGCGGCAGACGGCCGCTGCTGTAAACAAACCGGCGTGTGCGCACGGATCCCAAAGATAAAAAGAGAACGAGTCGATAATAAGACTGGACTAAGAACAAGACTGAACATTTGCTTTCAGTCAATGAGGAAGGACTGCTTCATGTTTGCGATGTAATAGGAAGTTTTGTTGCAACACGAGGAACAATGAAGCACTAAATACCGTTCACAGGGATTACGTGAAGGATTCTTTCATACAAAATCCGGAGCACCTTTTTCAGACTTCAAAAACCTCCGCAAAGACTGTGAAAGAAAAGGCCATTAAGGACATTCAGCTGCAGCAAACTTCAGCCTGTGACGTAATCGATATGAGTGGACAGTGCAGGTGTGTGACCTTTGAGCCAAAAAGCAGATTTATTTACTGTATTTCTTCAGTTGCATGAAGGCAAAAAAATGGAAGTCAAAGTTAAAGCAGAGTCATCACATGGTGCGTCATTCTCTCCAGGACACGCTGCAGTGAAAACACACATTTGACAATCATGAATGCTAATCATGTATTTGTAGCCTTTACTTGGTCATTTAGATAATAGGCTAATGTAGCTAATGTAGCTACATTGTGTAACCTTCATATAAGCTTTATACAAGGCTGTTATTTTTTTGCGGCTCCAGACAGATGTTTTTAGTATTTTTTGTCAAATATGGCTCTTTGAACCTTTTGAGTTGCCGATCCCTGGTATAAACAAACTGTAAAAAACGTGACAAAAACATGCCTGGGCCGGTAAGAAGGAAAAAATGCCCGGGCCGTTTTTTTGTCCCAGTCCAGCCCTGCACACAGACACACACACAGACACTCACTCGCACACAGACATTCACACACACAGACACTCACTCGCACACTGACACTCACTCGCACACAGACATTCACACACACAGACACTCACTCGCACACAGACATTCACACACACAGACACTCACTCGCACACTTTTTTATTTATTTAAGTTTATTTGAATAGGGACAAGTATGTCACATAAGCTCATGTTACATACTACAACATTTTAGCCAAAGCTAATTCTCAATGTCTGTCCCTAGTTGGGCCTTTACATAAAAATTAAACAATACATGGTTAAAACATAATTAAAACACATATCATAATACAGTACAACACAAACACAACAGAGCAGACGGTCAGTGGTCACATTTCTCGTTCGTGTTTGAAAGGGACCCAGTTTGACTCTCCCTTCAGGTCAGTGGGTAAACAGTTCCAGGCTTTAGTGCCTTGTACGGAAAAAGCTGATTGTCCAAATGAAGTATTTCGTTTCGGGATCTGACAGTTCCCGTTCTGAGCTCCTCTAGTCCTTGAGCCCACAGCCCTGAGAGGAACTATACACTCACTCAAGACCTGTGGGGCTTGCTGGTTCAAACATTTGTGCAT